AACCTCAAACTCCTGGGCTCAAGCGATCCTCCTGCCTCAGCCTCCCGAGTAGCTGGGACTACAGGCATGCGCCACCATGCTCGGCTAATTTTTTCTCTCTATATATATTTTTAGTTGTCCAGATAATTTCATTCTATTTTTAGTAGAGACGGGGTCTCGCTCTTGCTCAGGCTGGTCTCGAACTCCGAACCTTGAGCGATCCACCCGCCTCGGCCTCCCAGAGTGCTAGGATTACAGGCGTGAGCCACCATGCCCAGCCTCATTTGCTTACTATTGTATACCCAGTACCTAGCTCAGTGACTGGCACACAGTTAGAGCACAATAATATTTATTGAATGAATGAATCTTCACTTCTACTTATTTGTCAGATATTTGTTGGGTTCCTCTAGGTTCCAGGCACTGTTCTAGGTCCTATGGATTCACAGCATAGTGTCCTCAGTAATCATAGATTCTAGTGGGGACCACAGACATACATACTGATGTAACAAAAATATGTATTTTTCATTTATAATAACTCTCTTATCCTCCTTCTACCCTATTCTAAGAAGAATGGGCCTGAATATCTGGAAGGCACTTTTTTGGTGAGCAGTGATGAAGAGGGATATATAAATTTGGGGCCCTATTGTAGGCAAAGATTTGGGGAAGAGGGAGAAGCTGAGGGAGACGAGTGGTGGGACTTTGGTTGAACTGAAGAGGCAGCCTCAGACAAAGGTACTAAAGTCAATTAAAAGAAAATATGGTGCAGCTCAGCTCACGTGGCTGAATTCTGCTGGACAATTGACAGTTTATGAAGAACATTACAGCCTTAGGGTTGGACCTAATTAATAACATAACGGAGAAGGGGGGATTCGGCAGGAAGAGAGAGCACTCAAACTAAATATTTTAAAACTGTTACCCTTAGAATTATTACCCTTAAGTTACAGCTTTACAAAAACTCTTAAATCTTGAATCAGCAGCTCCTACTGGCTAAGAATAAATTTTAGGTACCTATGTGAGTTCAAACACCTGCAAGAAAAGGAAACAAAAACTCTAGAAGGGAGGGTGACAGAGTAAGTGTAAAGCACTTCTTCATTCATTACCTTGCACAATTCTTAAACTTACCTTGTAGTCTTCCTCCTCTGGAACTTTGCTGAGGTAGTTCTCATGACTGTACACTTTTGTACCGACTCGAAACTCCATTCCACAATCCCCTCCCCGCACCAAACGGAAATTTAAAAAAAAGTCAAATTCTCTATCCTCCTTTAAGGAACAGTTAAAAGATAGACTCCCTTTCCAAAACTAATTGTTCAGTAAGCTGTGTTTCTATAGTCTACTTTTCATTCACCTTACAGCTCTTACGCCATTGTGTAGTATAGTTATTTGACTCCATCAAGTCATTTGCCCTGAACTCCAAATCACTGGGGACTCAGCGCTGTTTAACGCTCAGCGCGGAAGGGAGGTCCGGCATTTAGAGGGCCCTCAGTGAGTGTAACCCAAGCGAATGCGTGCGGCAGGGAAGGCGTGGAGACAGAAGACTGCCAGCTCTTTTCGGAAAAGTTGATAGGATAAATGACAACACACTTAGTGATATATTAGTGTTTAATAAAGAGGGGGAAACAAAACCAAGGCTCCACGCCCACTGCTTACTACCACCTTCCCATTCACTAGCAGCTTCACTAATCCCATTCCTTCTTCAAACCAGAGCTCAAAGCAGGCTGCGTGTGATTGGCCAATCGGAGCACAGTCTTCCGCGGTCGCGAGGACGGCTGCAGCCAATGAGAGACCGGGGCACTTTGGTGGGGTGAGACAAGCCTCTGTCTGGAGGAATCCTGGGGAGTGGTGACGCACTTGGGTGGGACTGAAGCTTGATTGGCAGGTGGGCTATCCACTGCCTCAGAAGGGAAATCCAGCACGGTGCGCGCTGGAGGAGGCGTGGGCGGGGCACTGAAATGGAGTCAGCCAATGCCTGCCGCACTACGCGCAATCACCAATGGCGACACGGATATGGCGCCGTGGGCGGGGTTTCGGTCCAAAGCGGTGTAAGAGCTGCGCCTATTAGTACCGTCCTCACCGTCACAGCGGGCGCCTCCGCCTCCCTCTTGCTTCATTCATTCATTTTTCACTACCTTCATTCACCAAGATAGTGAGGCCTAGTCGAAAGCCATGGAGAGCGTTCTCCCAGCCGCCAGCTTCCTTTATTGGGTGGGCGCGGGCACCGTGGCCTACGTGGTCCTGCGCGTCTCGTATTCGCTGTTCACGGCCCTTCGGGTCTGGGGCGTGGGTAACGAGGCAGGGGTTGGCCCCGGGCTCGGTGAATGGGCAGGTGAGTTGGATGCGGCGCCGCGGCCTCCCTCCTGCTGCGGCTCGCGGCTCGGGTCCGGCGCTTGGCCTTCCTTCCTCTCCCCAGCTCTCTTTTCCTCTCTGAGGCTTCGCGTCTCGCGTACCCGCCCTGACTCCCTTAGTCATCTTACGGCTTGCTTAGACTACTTGTAGAATTTTAAAATACCAAATACACTGGTGGCTCAACTCCGGGAATCTAAAATGCTGCTTGGTGGGTGCAGGAGAAAACTTGAGTCCCTGGAGCTTGTGTCTCTTTAGGCGTTCCGGGTTCGTGGCCCGGAGTCAGTCGCCTTGCTTCCTCCTTAGTCACACGCGACCCACCTGGTTCGCCACTTGTGTTTTTAAAATAAAGTTTTTCCCTTGGTGTGAATACTGGCCCTGCGCTAAGGATGCATAGTATTCTCTTGGCTTTTTGGAGGTGAGTGGAATTTCAAAAGTCATTTTGCTCTGTGGAACCTTACGTCCCCACTCACATGGATTTGGGCTATTTCATATAGTTTACAAAGCCCTTAAAAAGAAAATCCTCACTAAACTGTTCTGGAGTCCCAATCCTCAAAGCGATAACTCTTGTGGAAAGCAAAAACACTACTTTTTGCAGAAGGACGTTTGTAGGAAAAAGTATCTTCACAAAAAGGAGCTAAACATAATGGATCTTTTTCTATCTAGTCGGAGGATTTTAAAAATGGAGGACAAAGGTCAGACTGGAGAAATTGGGAAAATTACCAGCAGGGAAGTTTTGCACTCACTTTTCTTCTTTTTCTGCCTTTTTTGTTTCCTTCTTTGCTTTATTTTTCATCTCTTTTGGCTTTTTTTTTATTAAGTGATTGCTTATGATATGCTTGTGGTTGTTCTCTAATGTGATTATTGATTTTGATGTTTTATAATTGAATGTTCACTTCCTAAGCATTTTATTTAATTTTGGGGTGGTTAGGTATAGCTTGCAGACTAGGCTCAAGTAAGATACATGAATAATGTTACTCCATGTTCTGTTCTTTACGTTGTTCATTCAAAAATATTTAAACAACTTAGTAGGGAAGACTTAATATGTTAACCTTTTGGGTTTATGTTAACATAAACGTTAAAAGAAAACATCTCAAGTAGTAATGCATACATATGTGAGATCTTTCCATTATGTGAGGCCACTGTTAACATTATAGTACTTCTGTTTCACAATCACCTGTTATCTTTTGATATTCTCTGGTAAAGAAAGTGAAGTGTTCAGCCTGATTATAATTAAGATTATGTATGATTTCATAATTGACTTGCCCAAGTTCTTTTTGTCAGCTTTGGAAAATTTGTCAACTTTTGCAACAGTTACACAAGACGCTCATGCCACAGGGAATTGTATCAAGGTTACATTTTGTAATTTGCAAGCAAAGACTGATGTTATTAATAATTATTTTTTTAACTGTCTAACTATCTACTGACTAATTGTTCAAATGGTAAGTCCAAGTCATGTGTATATGAGTCTATAGTAAAAGTCAAGTGATGTGACATTGTCATCTCATAAGTAACATTTGTATTGAAAAGATTTGGCCCCAGAGGAGGGATAATGGATAAATTAGGGGAAGTGTTTCTATAAGATTTAGATATGAAATTTGAACTAGAACGCTGGGACAGCAGAAAGGATCATATTGTCATAATTGAAGTGAAATATTGACGGGTTCAGTTTACCATGGATTGTTGGATAATCTTTTTTTTTTTAAGTGTTTAAGCAGAAGTGATCAAATTGTTACTTATAATATTACAATTGGCCTGGATCATAAAAGAAGATGCTTTCTTTATCTCTCCAGATTCAGGGACTCCTTTCAAAAACAAAGAAAATTAAGAGCAGCTCATCTTAAACAGGTTCTTTATATCACTTGGAGGGGTAAACTGAAATAATTAGGAAAAAAAAACAAACTAGCAGAGATGACACTTGAATAGTTAGGGTTAAAATGTGATTAAAAATAGATAATTTGTTTAACTAAAGTTATGATTTTGGAATTAACTGTTGTATATAAATAGCACTAGTAAGTTTTTTCCCCCTATAAAATTGCTATCTTACTCTCGAGGCTCTGTATATTCCCATGCGGACTCCTTTGAATAAATGCTAGTGCGAAGCAGTATTAAGGGAGGCATTACCTCCTTTCTAGTACTAATGTTTGTTTAATATTTTCTTCTCCATAACCAATTAAATATTTTTAAGTATTCTATACTAATATGTTGAATTGATAGCATATTTTTATTCTTGTTATTCTTTAGTTTCTTCATGTGAGTCTAATTTACATCTATCATCTCCACTTTATTTTAGGATCTTTATTTTAGATTTTAGGATCTGAAGGGCAGGGACCATGGATTCTCACTTTTTGTCTTTTCCCACAGTAACTGGCATATTGATCAGATAAGCTCTTCTAAACTTAGGAACAAAACTCTGAATAAACCTGAAATACAGGTATGCTTTGCAATTAGTAAAAATATTCTAGATAAGAGATTTCTTAGTCTCATTAGGTTTTTAAGACCATCTATTACTTGGCTTATACTCTAATTTATCTCTGTCTTCTGATTAAGAGCTAGGTCATCTCTTTTTCCGAGTTCTTTCCAGGAACATTCCTTTCAAGTGAATCAGCTTGGTTTAACTAGACCCCTAGCAGGTGGGTATAGCCAATTTAGTAGGTAAGACTCCTTTGCCTATCGTTGTTATATAGGTACTTCCTATATTTCTTAGGAGAACAAAAAGATCCTGTGAAAGTAGAGTGTCAGTTGTTTGAAGGTCAGTATAGCAAGTAATCAAAAGAAGGTTGCTAACAAAGGCAGTTTGTGCAAAATAAAGCAAAGAACAGTCATTGCTGTAGAGCAATAAAGAATGTAATCTGTAGAATTTGCTTTGAGCATAGATAAAATTTGCATTTATTTGCACAGTTTCCATTACTGGAGTTCATCTAAAATAATTGCTGTCGAAATAAAGTGGAGATGATAGATGCAAAGGCAAGGTAAGTATACTTCCAAAGGCAAAATATTTTGTAAGTGTAAACACAAGACAGCACTCTGAGCACTTATTTTTAGTTTTGAATGGAGAGGATATTGCTCCAGGCAGCAAATAATAAAGGATTCACTAATCAGTGAGTTAGATTTTTTTAAACAGCTTTATTGAGATGTAATTAATATACCATACAATTTACCCATTTAAAGTGTACAATTCATGGGTTTTATTAGGTTCACAGGGTTGTGCAACCATCATCAAATCTAATTTCAGAACATCTTCAACCTCCTCAAAAGGAACTCTGTACCCATTAGCTCTCATTCCCCAAGCCCCACCCACTCCAGCCCTAGTCAACCACTAATCTACTTTCTATGTAGAGTTGTGACTGGCTTCTTTCATTTAATGTAATGTTTTCAAGTTTCATGTGCATCATAGCATGGAATCAGTACTTCCATTTCTTTTTTATTACTGTATAATATTCCATTCTGTGGAGTGAGGTTAGATTTCACAAATGGTCTTCTCTGCATTTTGCCCTCTGCACATTTACGTTAGTAAATCTCTGAGATGTTGCAGCTTTGGATGTTGATGGAACTCATTTGGCTCTGTAGTATTCCATGGTTTTCCTGATTCAGTGACTAATGAGGTCTTAAAAAGAGAGTAGGGTGGTGAAATTCTCCTCTGGAAAAGCCATTCATCAAAACATGCTTTGCATAGCCAACCTCCAAGAATCAAAGGATTCTCAAAATCACAGGTATGATCATAATTTCTGTTTTCACATTGGATAACTGCACAAGGTTTACCTCAAATGGCTGAAGACTGTTTAAGTAACTATTAATAGTAGGTGCCTTTCTTTAGGTTTTGAGGTATCACATGATTTGAAAAATTATATGTGAAATGTTAATTATTATTATTTTTTTTTGAGACAGAGTCTTGCTCTGTTGCCTGGGCTAGAGTGCCATGGCGTCAGGCTAGCGCAGAGCATGAAATGTTAATTATTTAAATTGGTAAACCCAGAAGAAATATTAATAACTACCATTTATTTATTTATTTTTTGCCTTAGACCCTCTCTGAGTGTAAGACTTTTTTTTTTTTTTTAGAGAGAGAGTGTCTTGCTGTGTTGCCCAGGCTGGTCTTGAGCTCCCGGTCTCGAACGATCCTCCTCCCTTGGCCTCCCAAAATGCTAGGATTACAGGTGTGAGCGACCGTGCCCAGCATCACTACCATTTATTGAGTGAATGCTTGAAGTGTGCTGGACACTTGACAGATTATTTTTAATGTCTCTTTGATCTGTGCTCCATTATCCTCAGTGGATAGTGGAGAAAACTGAGGCTTAAGTAAATTACTTCCCTGTCTATGGTTTCATAGCTAGTGAATTGCAGAGTCAGGATTTGAAGCCAAGTCATCTATTCTGCAGCATTCACACACTGTATGTTGGTGATTGGTCTATAGACAGGATAAGTACTTGGGAGTGGATTTCTTTATACTCTGTGAACTTTATTAAAAGCTTTTTGATTGAAGGCACATTTTCAAATTTGCACCTGTGTGGCTTTTCTGGAAGCATTGCAGAATAGTCAGCACATTTTAGGGTCAAGTAGCTTGGGATTTTCTTCAAATTTGCACCCATGAATCTTGTTGCTGCATGAGAAAATGGTAGAAAGTCACTGAGGTGCTTAACAAAGTAAAGGGTTTGACTGTCATCAGAATGGCTGGACTGGACTTTGAATGCTATTTTCTGTTTACCACTCTGGCATTCTTGAATGGATTTAACAACTCTCTGGAGGTTCAGCTTGGTAAATGTAACATGCTCCTGTTGACATTCATGAAACTCTAGTATTAGAGTGTAGATACTTGTTCTTGCTGGTGAGCTGATGTTGATCACAGTAGTCATTACAAAGGCCATGTTTTTCAAAAAGACAGGGCAAGTGAGGGAGGGCAGAGAAACAAATAAACTTAGTCATAAAAGTTTTTTTTTTTTGAGACAGAGTCTCACTGTGTTGCCCGGGCTAGAGTGCCGTGGCGTC